TCCTATCAAAACCAATTATAATTATAATCAGTTCTTTATTTACATGAGAAAATGAATAGTTAAGTGTACAAAACGTTTCTGTCTGTAAAGTGTATACAGATAAGCTCTCAAAGAAAGAAACAAGATACTACTGTTGAAATTTATAGTATTAATTATTTCTATGTTCCAGCATGAGAGTTCACTGTAATAAATAGGATATATTAAATGCATAGAAAATGAAACTCCCAGGACAGAATGTACTGTTGCATTTGCCTAGGAAAGAGCCCTCTGAGCAAAGGACAATAAAACTAGGAACATTATTTTCTCTTGGGTAAACATGAGCATGAGTCAACAAAAAGTCTGCAAAGCCAGAAATGAAAAATATCTGATCAAGTGTTATTATCATTGTCTCACCTACTTTTTATTCCTATTTAATCTTAGTAAGTCTCATATTTTGTCTTTTTTGTTTGTTTGTTTGTTTTCTAAAAGGGGCTGTCATCAATGCTTCTCTAAGAACTAGTCTCCTAAGTACCATGAAAAAAACCTTCTGTAGAGTATGGAGGTGGTAACTATACCTACAGGACTACACGAGGGAGAGTAATCCCCATTTAACAAACCAGAGACTCACCCTTTGCTGTCAGTGTTTTGTATAGATAATATTATAGAGCAACCCCTCCAAACATTTACAGTATGGCATTAGTGCATTAATGCATCCTGACATCCAGGGAGCTAGTCATTTCCATGAAATAACTTTCACAGAAAAACTATCTAGGGACTGGAGCGATAGCACAGTTGGTAGGGGGTTTGCCTTGCACGCGACCAGCCCAAGTTTGATTTCCAGCATCCCATATGGTCCCCTGAGCACTGCCAGGGGTAATTCCTAAGTGCAGAGACTGGAGTAACCCTTGTGCATCGCTGGGTTGGGGACCACTATGACAATGGTAGTTGGAAATGATGACTCTGAACAAAAGCTGAACACTGAAAGTAGGTAAAGGGACAAAGATGATAACCTTTCAGTACCTGTATTGCAAACCATAATGCCAAAAAGGAAAGAGAGAGAGAGAGAGAGAGAGAGAGAGAGAGAGAGAGAGAGAGAGAGAGAGAGAGAAGCACCTGGGAAAAGGGCGGGGTAGGTTGGGCAGGAAACTGGAGACATTGATGGTGGGAACTGTACACTGGTGAAAAGACTGGTATTGGAGCAATGTATGACTGAAACCCAATCATGATTAACTTTGTAACTGTGTATCTCATGGTGATTCAATTAAAAAATTTAATTAAAAAATAGTCTATTATATCCCCCAAACTATATAAAAGTAAAGATTTTTTTTTATTGCAAGAAAGCATACTGCTAGAGCAATCAATGTTTTATAACTTAAAATGAAAATGCCATTAAGATTATAAGACAGTATCCTAAGAGGTCCCTCTTGGTCACAGTTGGCAGAATATTTCAGTATAAGCAATGAGTTGAAGTAATCTCAAATAATTACATCAACCCGCCCTCTACTCAACTGTTTGTATTCCCAGGTGCCACCTGCATACTTTCTTGGGGTAGAGTATAATTCGATGGAATGCAACATATTTTGGTGCACAAGACCACTAGATCTGAGAGAAATTGGTAAACACATTTGAACTAAATTAAACCCTTAGTAAGTAGCTACCAAAATTCAACAGATAGTCTATGGGTCCAACATGTGCTGTTCAATATCTATACAATTCCATATAGAAACTAAAATCTGGGAATTGGAGGAGGATGTATTGTATCTAGTATATTCTATTCAACATTTTGTAAAAATTTAGTTTGAAACAGTGTCTTTTCTTCATAAAGAGAAGTTGGCTTGGTTCTATGTTGTCCATGTAGTTAACACTCATTGAGGATATCAACATGTTTTTATTTACCATCAAAGAAAGAGACGACTAACTGAAAAGGTCAAGGTCATACAGTGTCAAGTCAAAGTCTGTGCTCTTGACCCACAAAGTGATAGAACAATTACTATTGCAACTTAGTTTTAGTATTTATCTTCTTGGCTGATAAATTACAAACTATAAAGTATCATTTTAGTGAAACATTTCTTATTTCTTAATTTATTTCAAACTATTTTACTATTCCTGCCACTTTTCTGATACCTTTGAAGAGCTACATCAAATGAATGATTAAGAATATTTCTTGCCAGATTACTGTCTCACAATGTTACTGGGTCCGCTCGAGCAAATCAATGAACAATGGGAGGACAGTGCTACAGTGTTTGCCAGATTATGTTTTGATTTTCCTTGTTATATTGAATTTTCCTTGACATAATTACTTATACATTTATGTACACACATTTATTTTGGGGGTGTCATACCTAACAGTGCTCAGTGGCTTCTCCTAGCACAGTGCTCAGGAGACCATGCTATAGTAGGGATGGAATAAAGCCTCCCCCTGCAAAGCATGTGCCTTGGCCCTAGGAGTTATCATCCCATATTTTCTTTTTAAATCTTCTACTCTTTCTCCCTTCTTTTATATTCCATTTTCCCCCACTACCACCCCTCTTCTCAAATTTCAAATGTTATTTTTGTGCCCTTCTTTTAATAAAGGACTGATTTTTAAAGCTTGAAGCCTACATCTATATGTTTCTATTACTTCTATTATTGTATTATAAACTCAAAGTTTGGATTTTGGCTTTATGATTCAGGAAAACATGAATTGCCTCTTCAGCCTGTACAATATACCTACAGTGCTTGATGATACAAGAGAGTTTTCCCAGTTCAGAGTTAAGAATACTGGGGGAGGAAACAGTCATTAGAAAGAGTGAAGAAAAGAATTAGGGAAGTGCATCCTAACAATGATTCTCCTGAATGTAACTCCCGGTTCTAGTTCTCCTTCTTATGAGTCACATTTTGAGAAGGAAGAAATCCTTTCTGATTTGCCAATCAGAAGCCAGTCTATTTTCTACTTTCCTGGGCACAGGATGAAAATCAGAACGCTCTAGACCATTCTTAAATCCAACTTTGCAGAAAACCACTTAAAAAACATTTGCATTGTACCACTTCATAAGATGTTTCTTTCTCCTATAATCAAGGGAAGTTTAGTTTTTCTTTAATAATTTAAATTATAAATTCAAGAATATGGAAGAAGGCAAATAGGTAGGATGACAAAATGGTGCCTAATGAGAAAAAATTTTTCTCTGCCTATGAGAAACCATTTTTGCTGCTATTCTTTTTTTTTTTTAAACTTTGGCACCATGCACAGTGGTACACAGGGCTTACCCCTGCCTCTGTGCTCAGCAACCACTCCTGGCAGACCTTGAGAAACCATGTGGTGTTGGGGATTGAACTGGGATCAGCCCCATGCAAAGCAAGTGCCCTATTCTCGTACTATCATTCCAGCCTCCATAACTATTCTAAGGCTAAAATTTTAGGTTTAATTGTCTCTCTATCCACATTACACCATATCACCCACCACTCATCCCCCATTCACATATTGCAATTAAACTTCAAAAACCATAAAATGTGAACTTATATAGAGCTATGGTCTTTACAGAGTCACTACAAGGTCATCAGGTGAGTCTTAATCTAATATGACCAGTGTCTTTATAAGAAGAATAAATTTGGATAGAGCTAGTTACTAAGAGAATGTTATGTAAACATGAAAATGGCCACCTACAAGTCAAAAAGAGAAATCCACAATAAATTCTTCCTTCATGAACTTCAGAATCTGATCCTGCCAGTACCCTGATGTTGCTATTTAATGGTACTATCTGAGATTTCATGACCAAAATCTTGAAAATTAGGGAGGTCACCCTGAGAATTATCATCAAAAAATTATGTAAGTGATTAGCTGAGGCAAACAGAAATTAAAGATCTTATTCAGCTGATTATTGATAAGGCTATTATTCTTCATGTTTTTCTCCAATGACACTGTCACACTTAAATAATAACCAAGAATTATATAGCACTAAGCTCGGCTTTGCCCTAACTTTTATTCAAAAATGTTTAAAATCAGAACAACATAAAATTAAATAAAATCACAGGAGAATTTACTCAATGGAAACAGTTTTCTATGAAGTTATGACATATTTTTAATCAAATTGTTACATTTTTGCTGCTAATGGTGGAAATAATTTGTCCTATTTTAAAATAAGCATAGCAATAGAAGATGGCTTAATATCTCAGTTAGTTCATAAAAAGATTAGTTTATTTAAATTCTGCCTATTTAGGTAGAGGGGAATGTGTGTATATATTTGCTAATTCACAATATTTTTCATAGTTGCATTGAATATTCTTAGGAAGTTTCTAAGACATGATTTTGCTCAAATTGCTATTAACCACAAAGTTAATTATTTAATAGATATTTTCTGTTTCACTTCTCCAATTATTATTTTTTTTATGATACTGGTATTGTTCTTTGAGAGAATCAGAAAAAATGTGGTTGAAGTCTCAAATAGTTGAAGTAGAAAAGAACTCTCACCCTTCTATGCTGAAGGCTGAAATTAAATATGATAAAGTTATAAATAAAAAGTCTTCCACTTAAATCATACTGTTGCAGGGCTATAATGTGATAGACATGGCTACTATAAAATATCTTAAAGACTAGAACTGATAACATTCTAAACATTAAGCATTTTTTTATAAGACATATTAGATCGAATGAGTTTTATGATCTCTTTTATCCTCAATATCAGTGGTTCTATGAACTCAATAGTACCCTCACAACACTAGATAGTTCCTCAAATAACACAAGGCATTTGTTCATCTCTTGGCAATGTTTATGCTTGACAGAGTGTAATTTACTTTGTTAATGTACATTTAAATGACACAGGATGAAACATTAGTCACAGCTCATATATGCTAAGTTAGAGAAAGAGCTGAGGTTAGGATTTTTAATTTGCCATTTGTTATCAGTACCAAGTCATCCGTCTATTATACTGGGTGAGAAAATTAAGCTATTCTCTAAGAATTGTTGTAACAATGATACTAGTCCTTGGGATTACTTTTTGTAGAACTAGAGATAGGTAGCACACATGAGAAAACCGAGTACTAACCTCCTTCATTTTTTCCAGCTCATTCTGTAAAGCTTGTTTTGCGATCTCAACCTCTATGAGTTGTTGCCTCAATTTCTCATTTTCATCTTCTGTTGTTGTTCTCTTTTCTTCCACATTTTCCAGTTCATGGTGAAGTCTCACTGATACATCCTTTGCAACCTACATTAAAGCATGTTTATAACAGTAAAACATAATTAAAGACAATACAATAAGTGAGTTAAATTTATATTGATACTTAAGTCAATATTTTTCAGGTAGCATTCCAGATTGGTCCTCATAGAAATACCTTAAGTTAGGTACTATTCCTAGTTCTAGAAACCCTCAGGCACTAGAAGTGAAGAACACATAATTATCAAGGGTTAGAAATAAAATGTTAGTAGTTTGATGTGGTGGCTCAGGGCATAGGCTGTGGTTTTCAGTCTGAGGAAGTCAGCCTGGCCACCTGCACCCCAAATTCAGGGTCCGGTCTAGGCACTTGACCTTTGTCAAAGGTTCAGCTTCTGTCCTTTAAGACTGTTACTAATCTTACCTGATACTTTGTTTGTTTCTTGAGACTAAGTATGGCATGACAGCATATGTAACAATGAAGCACTTGCAACAGTAATTGGCCTACAGTGAGCATTCAACGAACGTTAAGAAACGGAAGAAATAATAATAGGATGGCTAATAAATAAATGAGCTTTATTTAAAATAAAAAGATCACTACTATATTCTGTTGAAATTAATACAATTAAATTCTATATATTCGGTAGTTCAAGACCATGACGATAGTATCTGACTCATTATCAATGATAATGCTCTGAAGTCAAGGTGAAACTGAACTAACCTCACCTGCCCGGAAAAACCTTTTTCAAGGTTGAAACGTCCCCCACTGGATATGCTGAAGAAGCAACTTCGCAAGACCGCAAGACGGTACTCTCCTTACTTCCCTATACTTTCACTTCTCCAAAAGGGGAATCAAAATTGGGCAGTTCTTCCTTTCAGGGAGTAAATGGGTGGTGAAAACAGAAAGAAAGGCGTCCGGAGAACAGGAGAGGGAGTATTTAAGGTGGGGGGTGAGGGGGTGGGATTTGCACTCCAATCTCATCTCAGCACTATTCTCAACCGCACGGGAGGGGTCTGCATTCAGCTGGCCCGGGGCACCAGATTTCACCCGGCCTTCTCCATCCAGCTCTAGGCTCTGGAAGGGCAGATCAAGGCCAGAGCCTAGCTCAGCCACGCCCTTGTTTCCACCCTGGAAGGAGGGGCTTTCCTCTCACCGTCTCCTCAAAGAGCCTCCCTAACTCTCCGGAGAGGACCAAAATTCCCTCTTCCACGCACACCGGACTCCGCAGACCCATCGGTCTCTTTTTTTCCGGTCCCCCTTCCGGGACCTTGATCTCTTTTGGCAAGATCTGTACCAGAGGCTCTTTTCCAATATAGACGAAGGATTTCTTTTTTAGAGCAGTCCCCACCCCCAACTCCCGTCCCTGCCCCGCCCCAGCCAGCCCGGGTCTGCCAACCTTGAGGTCCTGCTCCAGGCTGCGTAACAGCTCTCCGTCGATTTCCCCGGTCTGTGCGTAACGGAGCCTTTTGCGTTCGGCTTTGCGGAGGCGGTACTGCAGAATCCGGCAGTTTTTGTTGGCCCTCTCCAACTCGTGTCGCATTTCCTGCAGTTGACACGCATCCTCCTCGAAGAAAGTGTCCCTCATTTCATCCATCTCGGTCCTTAGCTCATCGATCTCGTTCTGAGGCGGGGACAGGTAGTGGATCAAAATCAGTCTCTCCTCCAACTCCCCCGACATACACCGTCTACACCCCATCCCAAGTCCGAATGATCCGTCTTATTGCCCCATTGGGCATAAGACAGGAGGGGTCGGGCTTCAAGGAAGAAATTAGAAAAAAAAACGGGTGGGGGCTTTCCTGAGGCCTGCACTTGCCCTCTTACACTAGCTCTCTTCCCGAAAATGTGGGCCAAATCATCATATCATCATAATTCGGGGGGGGGGGATAGAATGAATTTGGATTAAATAAAGCGCAAAGCTACGAATCTCTGGCTCTGTGTTAAATTCACAGAAGGCCTAGGAGCCTAGGAAACCCCCCCTCCCTCCCTTCCGCCCCCGCCCCATCCCATCCCATCCCATCCCATTCCCTTTGGCTTTTCCCTTTTCTCCTCCCTTAGGATTCCTAAATGGTTAGCAGCCACTCAGTCCCGCGGGGACACGCCCTAAATCCTTGGTGGCTATCGCCGCCCCTCCCCCACACCGCCCCTCGCTCCCCCCACCCCCCACTCCCCCTTTCCCCTAGCCTCACCTTGAGAGTCTCATTCTCCTCTCGCAGCTTCTCCATCTCCTCCTGCATCTCTTCTTGCTCCGGGAGCGGCTGCGGGTTGGGCCGCGCGGCGGCGGGGGGCGCCGCTGCCTGCAGGGCCCCGCCGCTGGCACTGCTGCCCTCGGCGCTCTGCGGGGGGCCCTCTGCGGCCGCGGCCATCGGAGAGGCGGCCGGGGTGGCCAGGGGCTCGCAAACGGCCGGGGCGCCCGCGATCGGGGAGCTGCGGGTGCTGCCCCCTCCCCCGTTCTTCGTGTGCATCTGAGCCGCCGCGGCCGCCGCCGCCGCCGCCCGCTCTTTCTTGAGATGAAATTGGATGAGCTCAGACTGCAGGCATCCTTCTTTCCAGTAGCCGCCGCCGCTGCCGCCGCCGCTTCCGGGGTTTCTGCTCGCGGAGCTGGGGGGTTTGGCCGCCGAGGAGGAAGGCGACGGGGAAGCCCCTTCCCCGGCGCTGCCGCCCCTCTGCTGCGCGCGGACGCCTTTCCCTCGCCAGCCCCTGGGCGGCGGCGGCGGCTGCGGAGCGCCCCCCCTCCTTCTCCCCCGAGCCGCTGCCGGCTCCTCCTCCTCCTCCTTCCCCCAGCCCTCCTCCTCCTCCTCCTCCTCCTCCTCCTCCTCCTCCTAGCGGAGGGGGTTCCCCGTGTTTCGCCGACACGGTCTCGAGCTCTCTGGGCGCTTCCTCCGGGGCGCCGGGCTTTCGGCCGCCCCCGGGGGCCAGGGTGGCCGTTTCAGCACCACCCGCGGCCGGGACAGCGCCCGCTGCGGCCCCTTTCGGCGCCGCGGGCCCCGCCTTCTCGGCCCCGCCTCCGCGGGCGCTGGCCGCGGGCGTAGCGCGGCTCCCAGACTTGTTGCCCTGCAGCTGCTGTTGTTGCTGCTGCTGCTGCAGAAGCTGCTGCTGCTGCTGCTGCTGCTGCCGGACAGAATTGAGTTTCGAGCCGGAGCCTATTGGCGACCGCGTGGCCCCGGCGGTCTGGCGGAGCGAACCGTCCCGCAGTCGAGCGGGCGACTGAGCACGTTGCTGCTTTCGGCTGCTGCCCTCCGGGTGCAATCGCGCCTCGGTGGCCGCGGTGGCTGCGGAAGCTGGGGCTGCAGGAGGGGCAGCGCCCCCAGTCGGTGGCTGACTCATCGCGGGGCCAGGAGGGCACGACTCGGGATTGCAGAACGGATCAAGCTCCGATCATTTCTCTTCCCTCTTCAACGCCACCAGTCTTCTTTTGTAATCTGGGATGGGAACAAAAGAAGGGGATCACAACGGCACGTCTGCACCATTCCAGACAAAGGGTGCTTGTCCTCTGTAAGAGAGGCTCTGGAAAATGAGATCTGGAAGGCGCATAATAGAAGCCTTGATTCAAAGCCATAGGAAGCCGCATTCTGATTTTCTCCCAGAGAGGCGCTATCGCCTCTCTCTCTCTCTCTCTCTCTCTCTCTCTCTCTCTCTCTCTCTCTCTCTCTCTCTCTCTCTCCCTCTCCCTCTCTCTCTCTCTCTCTCTCTCTCTCTCTCTCTCTCTCTCTCCCTCTCACCTCTGTAAACCGATGATCTGAAGCAGCAAAACCTAACATCCTCACGGCAGCAAGTTTTTTTGCCAAGGATGAGACTTTATCAAAAAAGAGCTGATGAGGGGGAAAAAAGTTAAAAAAAAAAAGACGGGACAAGAAGAATTTTCTAAAGATGCTTTCAGGATAGAGTTCTGAATACCCTCCCTCTCAAATTTGCATTCTAAGGCCTAGTTTTGTAAAGTAAGTTTTATTTAATGAGCATTCCCACTTGTTAATTAGAGGGAAAGGGCTGGGTTATGGGGTTTTAGAGAAAATTTGCAAGTACATAAGTAACACTTTTCTTAACTAGCTCAGGCTTTAATCTTCCTGGTTTCAGAAATGCACATAATTTCCCTCAGCAAGAAAAGAAAATTAAATATAAACCTAGGAGGTTTACATCACCTTTAGTTCTTTTTTTTTTTTTAAATGGATAGTTGGACCACACCCAGCAGTATTTAGAGCTTTTCCTGGCTTTGCCTGAAGGAACATAGGGATTGAACTCACCTTTAGATTTTTTAAGTTACCTGTAATTTTGAGAAAATACATGCTAAGGAATCATTCTTAGAGACTTTACTTTTTCCTCTTTGGCAATGGAACTTTAAAAAAAAATAACACTTCTGGAAAAGTTTACTGGCTGATTTGCATGATTCTTTTTTGAGACCACACCCAGCAGAGTTCAAGGTTTACTCCTGGCTCTGTGTTCAGGGTTCACCCCTGCTTGTGGTACCATATGGGGTACTGGGGGTCAAACCATGCTAAGGCAAGTACCCTACTTGCTGTACTAGCTCCAGCCCTCATCTGCATAATTTTTAAAATAACAAATGCTAACTTTTTTCTACACTTATCCAAATGTCACAAGTCTTATAAACTATTTTGCTTTTAAATGTATATGCTATAAAGGAAATGTATTCTTTGTTAAACATGTTTTGACAAGTACATCAGAAACAATATTGTGCTTTCATAGTGCCTAGTCTTTCCGCTGGAGTCAAGTTCTGTGGCAGAATGCTCAGGAAAGCTGGTGGATTCCTGATACTAAGATCAAATTCTTTTGTGTATTTCTTTTCTAAGCAACACTTGTCATTGCCTTTTAAAATCTGGGAATTCCTGTGTCCTTCTATTCAAGTAACTAGTGAGGTCCTTTGTCATTAGAATAGCAATTTCTCTCTAAGCACTGAAAAGGGCATGACTAGACAGAAAGTTCTACTTGAAAAAATTCTCCTAATTGGAAAGGTCATGCTTGCCAATTTTTAAAATGATAGACAACATTTGATAATTCCTCTTTTTATGAAGAATTGCTGTGGAAGTTTCTGTCTCTACCTTTCTTTTTCAGAGGATTTCCTTACAACTCACTTTGGGAAAGAATAGTAAAAAAAAAGATGTATCCTTACAAATGTCAAGTTAATTTCTAGACATTTCCCAGAGTCACAAGCTCCCTCCCAAGTCTCCCCCAATCCATCAACACGAGTGACACTAACGTGGACCACAGAAGCAGTTCCATTGTCAATGAAATGCTATTTTTGTTGTGCAGTAGGTGAAATCACTCCGGAGCTTTGTTGCCACCAGAGGACGCTTAAATTAGGCCCCAGACAGCTCTAGCCCTGGGAAAAGCTCAATCCCAGAAACTGGGCTCCCACAATCAGAGGTACCGGGATGCTGTCACGTGACTCTCGCTAAGTGTCCGGATGCCGAGTCTATTTCAACCCTTGCCGGGTTGAATTTACCAAGAAGCCCCGCACACTGAACCCAATACTTTTTCATCTTAAATTCTATCTGCCCACTGCATCCTTCCCACCTCTCGTCCCCAACCCTTTAGAAATCCAGAAGAACCCGCTCACTTCTCAGCAGAGGCGATGTTTCCAGGTGATGGAAACCAATCCTCACGGTTTTCCTGGGCTCTCCGGGTTTATTATTGTGTCTATCGGAACCGAGGAAAGTTTCAACCTGGTAGTATGATGAGTTTTTTGTTGTTGTTGTTGTTTTGTGACCGGACTAGTCTTTGGGCCCTTTTGTCCGAGTTGCTCACCCACTCGATTTCCACAAACAATGGCGTTAAAGGGCGGACTCGATGTCTCCAGTGTCCCGGAGCAGGTGACTTCGCCGCGGTGGTGGCTAGGCTGGAGCTGTGCCTCGGAGCTGATGGAGAAACGAGGTACCAAGCGGTGCCAGACGCTCCTCGGGAAGTGCACTGATATTCATAAGCTGACTCGGGGGGCCCGGGCAGGGGAGAGGGTGGGAATGCAAGGGAGGACGGGGTAGAAGTAACCAAGGAGAGGCTACTTTGAGAAGGAACGAGAAGAAAAAGCGGGGGTGGGGGTGCCCAAGGGGAAAAAAAAATAGAAGGTCAGAGCCACGCCCGAGATGGAAGATCTGTAGCAGCGCTTTTCAAAGTCCTTTCGGCACTCGCATCTCCCGTCCTAGGCAGATGATTCCAAAGGCGCTCGAAATCCGATGCACTGTTTTTCTTTGCAAAGCTTTGTCCCGGACGCGATCGTTCTCTGCTAAATGAGCTTCTTTATTTTACCAGGCGGGAGGGACTCCAAAGGCTGCCTTCCCGGCGTGACTGGCATCTCCCGATGCAGCAGCAGCAGCAGCGAGGCGCTGCCCGGCGGCTGCCGGGAGTTCTCTTTGTTCGCTCACTTTAATTCTCAGTCGAGCTCTCCACGCGGTGCGCCCTCCCCACCCCCAGCCCAGGCGGAGTCATCAGACGTCGTTTCCCGGAGTAGATAATGGTTGCCAGATTCACCGTCCCGCAGACAAAGGGTTCTTGTGTTGCCATGACTCATTTAGTGCAAACCGAATAAATATCGGTTTACAGAGATCTATTGCGGAACTATTTGCCCTCGGCACATTTTCTACTCCCCTTTATTAAGTTTCAGCTTCCTCTGCGATTGCAAGGAACAATTGTTGGGATCTACAGTCTATAGTAGTGCATGTAGCTGAAAGCATCAAGAGAGTATTGATATAAGATACAGACTTAAAAGGAATTCAGGGGGGAAAAAGGAATTAGAGTATGTGTCTTTATAATGTACGTTACTTCATGCTGTTCCACAACGATATTTATTTTATAACTCGGGCAGGAGAAATGATCTTTTCCCTCCCAATTTTAAAAGAAAATTTTATTTTATGGATGGAGGATACATGAAAGTCTTCCTTCTACTTAGAATTTCTTTTGAACAGACTAAATGCAAACACTGATTGCCAATGGATATTTTTCAAATAAAAATTCTCTTATGTTAATATTGTAGTTCAGTAGGAAGAGAAAGAAGTCGATATAATGGAATAATTTTTGTGCTAACATTCATTTCAGTGTGAAAGATTTTGTTTTCCAAGTGTGACATCTTGCATTAGAAATGAAAAAAAATTCTTTGTACACGAGCAGCATAACAAAGAAATGTTAAATCTCTGGTGATCTGTATCCTAAGTAACACATAAGTGAATTACAGTCTTACAAAAAAATCATTTAGGTGATTATCCAACTCCAAAATAAACATGAGGTGTACTTTTTGCTAAGGCACTGCCCAAGGCTACTGTCCAAGGTGCTAGTGATGCAAAGATAAATATAGTATACTCGTCATTCCAGGGAAATTAATGAATAGTGGTGAAAATTAAAATAACTTTCACATAATCACTGATTATCCTTAAAAGTTAGTCAGATTCTACCATGGATACCTCAAGCCTTGAATATAATATGAGGAAACAAAGAGAAAAGAGCTAAGCAAAATTGTCCTCACAATTTGGATTTAGTATTAGGAAATTTGTCAGTGTGTACCCAACTGGAGTTGTAATTTGTTTTTCAGAAATGTCAAGATCCACAGGTCTTAAGTAACTAAAATATAGTAAATGAATAATATTTATTCATATTGGTCTTTTAAACAAACCAATGGTGTTATAAATACAGTCTAAGGACATAGAACACAGTTTATTTTCTCTAAGAATTAAAATATTGTTCAGACACCTTTTGTTTTATTTTTTCAAAGATATGATTATTTCAATGTAATTAGTAACTCTAAAATCAAATAAAATCAATAATTAATTTTTATGCATGCTTTAATCAAATAGTTAACGTACTTAAATGTGGATTTTTAAGCTTAGTATTATTCTATTTTAAGGTCAATAATTAATAAGAACATATAAGTAAATATAAAATAATTATAAACTCATGAAATATGTAAAGAAAACTTTGAATATGAAATCCATTTGTTTTATTTCTCTATTTGCTATTTAAAATATTTCTCCAATTAAGTTACGCAAACTATTATTATTCAATAATTTTGTCAGAACTTAGAAAGGTTCCAGTATTTTCTTAATGTGTTTTGAACCAGACAGGAAAACTAACTTTTCAACATCTATAATAATCAATCAACACATCCTATATCAGTGTAAAATGTGGTGCTTAGATCAACAGAAGAAAGCTAAAAGAAAGTAAATTGGTAGAGCTAATGTCTGGCATACAGGAGACCCTAAATTTGATCCTAAAAATCCCCCACCTTTTCACTACCAACAGAAGTCTCACTTCCATATGACGACATCCCACTGCTCACAACATTTCAGGAAATGACCTCAGGCCACAGAAATACAGACCTTATAATTTCTTTGTTGCTAGTT